GATTTGGATATAGCATGAGTTCCCCACCTAAAACACCCCTCCCCAAATGAGGCGATTGGTTCTCTGCTTTAAGGAGACACCCTTCTGAGTTCCTAGAAAAAGGCTGTTATGCTTGGAGCAGTAAGATGAAGAGATCTCCCTTTTAACACCAGAAACCAACTTTGGGAGAAAGGCACCCTTTTGCTCAGGACCCTTGAAGCTGCTTAAATCAAGGCTGACGGCAAGTATTCTACCTCTCTAACTTTCTTTCTGTTATCTCCCTGTTTTGTTATTGCTCTCTGTATTTATATATACAGTAGGGATCGAAAGTTTGGGCACCCCAGCTAAAAATTTGTATTAATGTGCATAAAGAAGCCAAGGAAAGATGGAAAAATCTCCAAAAGGCATCAAATTACAGATTAGACATTCTTATAATATGTCAACAAAAGTTAGATTTTATTTCCATCATTTACACTTTCAAAATAAAAGAAAACAAAAAATGGCGTCTGCAAAAGTTTGGGCACCCTGCAGAATTTATAGCATGCACTGCCCCCTTTGCCAAGCTGAGACCTGCCAGTGTCATGGATTGTTCTCAATCATCGTCTGGGAAGACCAGGTGATGTCAATCTCAAAGGTTTTAAATGCCCAGACTCATCTGACCTTGCCCCAACAATCAGCACCATGGGTTCTTCTAAGCAGTTGTCTAGAAAACTGAAACTGAAAATAGTTGACGCTCACAAAGCTGGAGAAGGCCTGAAGAAGGAGCCTATTGAGCATGCTCCGAAATGCATTACCACCCCTTTCACCTGCTACATCTGACTCTGCTCTCCAAGCTTCATTTTTGATGCACAGGCACATCCTGGACTCTACTATCTGATCCTATAGGCATAGCTTGCTGCTGGACGGCTGGATGTCCCACCTGGATCCAATTACCACACGATGAGTCTTTTAACCGTTTATCTTTTAAGTGCAAATTTTCCATTGTCTACTAATAAATTGTTAATACTACACTTAGAGGCGCCTTCCTCTCTTTTTCTTTTTCCAGTAAAGGCAGCATGCTGAGGATATACAGTGCCTTGCAAACGTATTCATTACCCTTGAAATTTTCCACATTTTGTCATGTTACAAGCAAAAACGTAAATGTATTTTATTTGGATTTTATGTGATAGACCAACACAAAGTGGCAACAAAATTGTGAAGTGGAAGGAAAATGATAAACGATTTTCAAAATGTATTACAAATAAATATTTGAAAAGTATAGCATGCATTTGTATTCAGCCCCCTTTACTCTGATACCCCTAACTAAAATCTAGTGGAACCAAATGCCTTCAGAAGTGATCTAATGAGCAAATAGAGTCCACCTGTGTGTAATTTAATCTCAGTATAAATACAGCTGTTCTGTGAAGCCTTCAGAGGTTTGTTAGTGAACATTATTGAACAAACAGCAGCATGAAGGCCAAGGAATTTTTCTTTCACAATTATGTGCCACTTTGTGTTGGTCTAGATCAGGGGTGGGCAAACTTTTTGACTTGAGGGCCGCAATGGGTTCATATATTGGACCCGGGGGCCGGACCAAGAGTAGATGAATTATGTGTATGTGTCATCCATAGTAAGTATAGTAATATTCCCCCATAGTAAGCATAGTAATTAATCCCCCATATAGTAATTCATCCCCCATATAGTAATTCATCCCCCATAGTAATTCATCCCCCCTATAGTAATTCATCCCCCCTATAGTAATTCATCCCCCATATAGTAATTCATCCCCCATATAGTAATTAATTCATCCCCCATAGTAATTCATCCTCCATAGTAATTCATCCTCCATAGTAATTCATCCCCCATAGTAAATTCATCCCCCATAGTAATTCATCCCCCATAGTAATTCATCCCCCATATAGTAATTCATCCCCCATATAGTAATTCATCCCCCCTATAGTAATTCATCCCCCATATAGTAATTCATTCCCCCTATAGTAATTCATCCCCCATATTAATTCATCCCCCATATAGTAATTCATCCCCCATATAGTAATTCATTCCCCATATTAATTCATCCCCCATATAGTAATTCATCCCCCATATAGTAATTCATCCCCCATATAGTAATTCATTCCCCATATTAATTCATCCCCCATATAGTAATTCATCCCCCCTATAGTAATTCATCCCCCATATAGTAATTCATCCCCCTATAGTAATTCATCCCCCATATACTAATTTCATTCCCCCCATATAGTAATTCATCCCCCCTATAGTAATTCATCCCCCCTATAGTAATTAATCCCCCATATAGTAGTAATTCATCCCCCATATACTAATTCATTCCCCATATAGTAATTCATCCCCCATATAGTAATTCATCCCCCCTATAGTAATTCATCCCCCATATACTAATTCATTCCCCATATTAATTCATCCCCCATATAGTAATTCATCCCCCATATTAAGTCCCCAAGTCCCCCCTGTGTCAATTCACTTACCTTTGCTCCGCGCGTTCCTCTCGCCGTGTTCCCACGCCGTTCCGGTGTAGCATGAAAATCTGTCTCCTATGAGGATCTGTCCCCCTCGACGTATCTGCGCATGTGCCAGTTTAAGGCATTACCAGCCGATCGGCGATCTCCTGCACATGCGCAGATACGTCGAGGGGGACAGATCCTCATAGGAGACAGATTTTCATGCTACACCGGTCTTCAGGGCGGACTGTGAGAGGAGCCTAGCTCCGCGGGCCGGATTAAAAGGTCCGCCGGGCGGCCGTAGTTTGCCCATTGCTGGTCTAGATCATAAAATCCTGATAAAAATACATTTACGTTTTTGGTTGCAACATGACAAAATGTGGAAAATTTCAAGGGGTATGAATACTTTTTCAAGGCACTGTAAATGACTAGCTTCAGGTGATACACAGAGATGAAACAAATCCTCCTATATACAGTAAGTTTTACCTATCTGCAGTCTTCTCTTCTTAACATCCGTTCAAAGTACAGAATTTATTAAAGGATAAGTTCACCTTTCATAACATGTAACATGTTACATTCAGACAAGCCCCCGCTCCCCCCCCCCCATCCCTGCTTTGACAGCTAGCGGGGGCTCTTTTCCCCTAGCTGTCAGATTTTTAAAAAATGTGGCCATGTGGGGCTCCGCCCACACGGCCACATCACTCATTTACAGTCATCTGTGAATGAGAGACTACAAGTCCTGGCAGCCTTAGCAACTGTCAGCATGTAGTCCTCAATGAACTACCACAACACTGTGGAGCTTCGTGCTAGTTAATTCATTCTTCCTGTCAGAATATTTGCTTGCTCGTACATCCTGTACATCCTATACAAGCAAGCAGATAAACTGACAGATCTGCAGGAGACCTGCATGGCATTAGCAATCTACTGATCGTTGGTGCAATGCTTTCCAGGCTCTTGCAGACAAAAATAATAAATTCACATTTTTTTTACCTGCAAAAAAATGTTCATTTATTATTTTTTTCTAAAAGGTGAACTTATCCTTTAAGCTTGTTTGACAGTTCAGAAAACAGGGGGCGGAGAACTGAAATTACACTCTACAGAGCTCAGTGAGGAGAGCTCTGGGAGCTGATTGGAGGGAAGGGACACACCCCCTCATCACAGCTCACAGCAACAGAGCTGAGACTGTCAATCTGCTGGAGGTTCCTCCCCTCTCACCAATTTAGAAAATTTGTCAGGAAAACTTGTCAGACGTGATTCACGCTGATTTCAGAGGAATGAAACAGCTGATTTCAGAGGAATGAAACAGTGGACAGAAATGACACTTAGCGCTCTTAATTGAAAATGAAAAAAGCACACAGTAAAGAGGGATATGTTTTGTTTATATTTCACATCTGAGGTTTACAGCCATTTTAAGATAGATAGCTAGATTACCCTGCTCTCAGCCCATCACTGGACAGTGAAGAAGCAGAAGCAGAATGATGTAGCTACTTATTTGATCTGTGTTTCTGCTAAAATATACCTTGTCACCATGTTTGCATGCAGCAGACTGAGCTCTTCTCTTCAAAGAATTACAGGAGAGTGATGTCAAGATAAATTCAGATAGTTATAGTATTAGAATTTGAAAAAATATTTACAAACCTATTTATAGAGCAGAGTGCATATGGCTTTCTCTCCACTGCGCATTGTTAATTAACACCAAGGTTTGCATATTACGGCCCATTCATAATACAGGTAGAGCCTGAAGTATGTTATTTCTGTCTGATCAACCAGACTGGAGAGAAAGAGCTCCATGACTGAAGGAAAGCCAGTAACATGGAAGGACAGTAACACTGTTTTTAACTTGCTGTCACTTTGCTATGCTGATTTGTAAAACTGCAGGAAATCAAAAAGTAAAAAGTTCCTCAAAGTCATCATTGATAATTAATTTTTTACTTCTTCAGAACTGAAGTAAACACCTGAGTTGTCACTGAAAATGTATTAATCTCTTACAGCTTTAATAAGAGATCTCCACAAGAATGCTTAGTTGTGTTGGCTATTTTAAGTGGTCCAACTCTTCATGAATGCATGGATTTTGACAAATCAAGTCTGTCAGAACATTCTCTAATTCAGCCTTTCTCAACCACGGTGCCCGGGCACCCTGGGGTACCTTGACATTTCTTCAGGGGTGCCTTGACAAACTGCCTAAACATTGTCCAAAAACTGTATACAAACCAGCAGATGGATCAAGCCTGCCTTTTAGTTACACAAAGCCACGGGTTTTCTTTCTGCACCATTACAACATTCTAGCCACCAGCATCCTAACAACCAATGACACCATCAGTTGATATGGAGAATGTTGATCGCCTGCATGCCATCCTTGTTTGACCGTCCCTTGCTCCTCTCTGTCAGTAATGGGGGCAAATTAGCTGCGTGATAGAGAGAAATTGAGGGAGAAGAGAAACATTGGAATACTATTCAATACTAGTGTGCAAAAGTGTATTTGCAATGGAAGAATAAATTCCCTCTAACACTTGGTGTCCTACATGTGTGCGTGTTACTGCAGTAGGTAAAACTTTAGAATTTTTTTTACATTTTAGAACGGGGTGCCTTGAGACTGTCCATAATTTTAAGGGTTCCCTTGAGACTGTCCATAATTTTGAGGGGTGCCTTGAGACTGTCCATAATTTTAAGGGGTGCCTTGAGACTGTCCATAATTTTAAGGGGTGCCTTGAGACTGTCCATAATTTTAAGGGGTGCCTTGAGACTGTCCATAATTTTAAGGAGTGCCTTGAGACTGTCCATAATTTTAAAGGGTGCCTCAAGACTGTTCATAACTTTAAAGGGTGCCTTGACTTGAAAAAAGGTTGAGAAACACTGCTCTAAGTCTTCAGGTTGTTAATAATAGCTTTGTAATGTCTATCAACCCCAGCACCTTGATTATCACTTCTTAATTAACTTTCCACCTTTTCCAGCATTGAGTCTTCTCCATGTGACCATCAACTTTTAAATTCAGCCATATGTCAGACAGTAAATGGAAGTTTTTACCTGGCTGATGAACCACATTTTCTACAGGCTTTTCTTCTGTTTGCTCCTCTTCTATGAAGAATCCTCCTCCAGAATCAACAATCCTTGGAGGTGGTTTCACAGTTGACATTCCTATGTAACAAACATTTTAGTGGTGATTTTTATGTGTCAATAGCAGATAGTCTAATTATTATTATTATTATTATTATACAGTATTTATAAAGCGCCAATGGTTCGCTCAGCGCTGTACATTACAAAGGGGGACAGAACATGTGACAGAACAATACCAATACAATGCAAAACATGAGGGGATCGAGGGCCCTGCTCTTTCGAGCTTACAATCTAGGAGGGAGGGGATAGTGGTACAGGAGGAGATAGCTGTGGGGGATGGAGTGGTAGGAAGAGTGGAGGAGGTCGGCAGGTTAGCAGGGGGTGGGGTAGGCTTCCCTGAAGAGATGGGTTTTCAGGGTGCGCCTAAAGGAAAGGAGAGTAGGTGATAATCTGATGGGTTGGGGCAGGGAGTTCCAGAGGATGGGTGACACCCTGGAGAAGTCCTGGAGGCGGGCATGGGAGGAGGAGACCAGGGAACTAGAGAGGAGGTCTTGTGAGGAGTGGAGTGTGCGTGCTGGGCGGTACTTGGATATTAGGTCAGTGATGTAGTACGGGGCAGTATGGTGGACAGCTTTGTACGTCAGTGTTAGGATTTTGAATTTGATCCGTTGCGCAATCAGAAGCCAGTGGAGGGATTGGCAGAGGGGGGGGCGGCGGAGATGGAGTGGTTGGAAAGGTGAATGAGTCTGGCAGCCGTATTCAGGATCGACTGAAGTGGGGATAGCCAGCGGCCAGGCAGGCCAGTGAGGAGGGAGTTGCAGTAGTTGAGTCGTGATATGATGAGGGGGTGGATGAGCTGTTTAGTGGTTTCTGGGGTTAGGAACGTGCGTATTTTGGCGATGTTGCGGAGGTGGAGTCTGCACGAGTTTGTTAAAGATTGGACTTGGGGCTGGAAGGATAGGTTGGAGTCCAGAATGACACCAAGTACTCTGGCCTGCGGGGCGGGTTTGATGGTGGCGTTGTTGGATGTGACGGAGAAGTCAATGGGGGGTGGTGTCCCGGGCTGGGGGGGAAGACAAGAAACTCGGTTTTGGAGAGATTCAGTTTAAGGAAGCGGAGCGACATCCAGTCAGATATGTCGCTCAGTAGGTGTGTGATTCGGTCGGAGACCGAGGGGGTGAGGTGGGGGGTTGAGAGATAGATTTGTGTGTCGTCGGCATAGAGGTGGTAGTTGAAGCCATGAGAGTGTATGAGTTGGCCAAGGGAGGAGGTGTAGATGGAGAAGAGAATTGCGGTGTTATAAAACAGTAAAGACTTTCCATACATTTCTAATCATAGAAAACTGATATAATTAAATCCCAACTCTGAGAATTACACAAGCATTTCCTTTGCACTGCCCTCCCACACACTGCAGGGGCTGAATGCTAGTTAAATTGGTTCTAAAGTCAAAAGTTGAGGAGGGAGCAGGGCCAAGCTGCACTATGCGTGCACACATATGGCACAGCTTGCTATGGAGGCACACACAAAAGAGGAGGCAAGGATGTGCAAATCCTATCGCCCGACGCCTGGGACATACAGTTTCAGGCACGGGCAGGTGTTTTGTTTTTCACATTTAGCTCTGCTGTGGGCAAGCAACATGGTTTACTTTTGTGATCTGACTTATGGTGCTACAATAGGAGAGGATCAGATGAAACATCCTTCTTCCTGTGATGATGATAGCACCGTTGGTTATGCAGTAGGTGTGAAGGGTATTGTTTTCGGCCCCTGGGCTCCCTACCCGGCAGCTGTGGCGTTAGTTGATGTGTGTGCCATTCGGCTCCCGCTCACTCCATTGTGTGGAAATTGCCCGGCAGTTGTGGAGTTAATAGTTTAGCTCTGCTCCTTTGGCTCCCACTCAGCTCCTGCGCCTCGCTGCATCACAATATCTTTATTGTAAGGGCATCAATAAGCACATGCGCAAAAGGCAGATGACTACAGTGCCATGGTAACGGATCGCGGAGGGTGAGGCTACAGTGGGAACAGTGCAGGGATATGCAGCAGGAAAAAGTTTGCACACTCCACCTGTGCTTGTCTCAGGGGTGTCACCTGTCAATGGATAGGCTTGCTGGGATTTTTAGTTCTATGACATCCCTGTTTTGTTCATTCTTCACTTCCTTTGCTTGAAATTATCCACCCTCTTCTCCTGTTCTTGTTTTGACAGCCCATTCATTTAAATGGATTGTTGTCTGTGGAACACACAAAAAGTTATTCAGGGGCTACATTTACAAACTGCATGGTACTATGGTCAGGGATGCACAAATCCTATTGCCTGATGCCTGGGACATGCAGTTTCAGCTGCTGGACAGGTTTTTTTGTTTTGCTTTTTTTTTTTTTTTACATTTAGGTTTACTTTTGTGATTCGGCTGTTCCAGGTAGGGAACGTGTGCACCGCCGCCCCAGCAGTGCTGTCATTTGCTCCAGCACGTGCCGATCACCAGGTCTCGATCAATGATTTGTGGCCGGGGCCAGCTGATCAGCACAGCGAATGAAAGGAGAGACCTCTGTGTTGGTAAACAACACAGAGATCTCTAGACAGCAGCAAAGTGCCCTGTTTTGTCTCCCTGCAAAGTGAATGAAAACCAGCACACTGCTTAGTGAAAACACCACACAGTTAACACATTAGCACTTGTTAGGCACATAGTTAACCCCTTGATTACCCCTAAATGTTAACCCCTTCCCAGCCAGTGTCGTTATTATAGTGTCAAGGTATATTAGCACTGATCACTGTATTAGTGTCACTGGTGATGTCAGTTCCCACAAAGTGTCATTTAGTGTCAGATTGCCCGCCACACTATCACAGTCCCACTTTAAGTCGCCTATTGCCTCCATCACTAGTATTAAAAAAATAAGTAAAAATTCCAGCATATATACACCACAGTTTGAAATTGCTATAACTGTCATGCAAACCAATTAATAAACACCTACTGGGATTTTTTTTACCAAAGACATGTAGCAGAATACATTTTGGCCTAAATTTATGAAGAAATTTGATTTTTTTTTACAATTTTTTTAATATGTTTTATAGCAGATAGTAAATAATAGTTATTTCTGTCTTTTTTTGTTTACATGCATTTTATATACAAATATCACCAAAAGACAGCTCTATTTGGGTGAAAAATAGCACAGAGCAGAAAAGAATAAACCTCTTTTTTATTTTAAATAAATAAAATGACTCTACAACTGCTTTAAGTATCCTTCCATATATGCAACTGGTTCCCCCCAATTACCTTGTCTCGAAGACCTCCAGGACATCACATTCTGATGTCAAGTACAGTTCAGGGCATATAGTTCTGTGCTGTACATAAGGACATGGAGGGCCTGCCCACAGCCTGGAACGTCAGGGAGGAGATTGCCGTGGTTTGCGGGTGGTGTGAGAAATAAGGAAAGCATTACACCTTATTTATTTACCCTCTAGATTCCATTTTCATCTGTGATACTGGGGTGTCCCCAGCCAGCTTGATGTGTTCTCACTCCATTTCCACTCTCCATAACTTAAGTTAACAATTCATCAAGAACAGTTTACCCCCAGCAATGGGGACATCAAGTGTGTAGGACTGGAAAGTGAAACACATAGATAAGCTTATCAGAGTTTCTGGGACATACAAGAAACGATTTTGTCGTTTAACTGTTTGCTATCTGCCATACATTACTTTCCAGTTTAAGTGACCCTTCAAAGTGCTTTGTCATTTTTAAACCTATTCTGAATCTACAGGTGTCTCTTTGAAGACAAAGTTATGGCAAGTAAGGCCCCTTTCACACAAAGGGGCAGATCAGGTCTACCTGATCAGACCTTCCATTCACCCCTATGGACCAGCGGGTGTAAACAGACTTAGATCCATTTACACCCGCCTACCTCCAATCTATTCCACCAAAAAAAAAAAAAAGAAACGCAGGGGATCCGTCCTCCACCATCTAGGCGAATCAGATCAGAGGGCAGTCTGTCTGTGTCCACTATGCATACACTGAGTGGCCATGGACCTGTCATCCGCCCACTATGCTCTGATCAGCAGGGGATTAGTGAACAGATCCCCTGCTGATCTAAATAGAGCCCACCCTATATGATAGGGGCCTAAACAGTTATGTTATGATGTGAGAGTACCTAAGCATCACTGTCATGTTGTAATCACCTTCACCAGTTGGGTATGGTCTACTTGCAAGCCGTGCTTGTCTTAACATCAGTGCTCTTTGTCTATTTCGCTCTATCTTAGCTCGGACAGCAGCTGGTAATATCTTCTCTTCCTCCTGATGAGGTTCCACTACTGGCGAAGAATCCATCTCTGCTTGGTTATAATCAGGTCAGTTTTAGACAGGACACCAGTGAACCTGCAACAAAAGACAGTTACTCACAACAGACGGCAAATAAATATCTCTCTGGCCAAAATTACTTTTGAGAGTCTGTGAGCTTCTCACAGTGTGCATTAGAAGACGCAACAAGCCTGATACAGCCTGTCACATTTGCTGGCTAGAGGACATCTAGCCCTTTCCTTCATAGTCTTACTGGCCTTGGCCTGCCACTTTCAATAACTAGGTTTCAGTCCTTTCAATCATGGAGGCTCTGTATCACAAGAGGGCTTTACCTAGGGCAGTCTGCCTGCAGATGTAACTTGCCTAGGAACACCCACTCTTACAGACTGACACCCAACCATCAAGGTATTTTAATATATCCATAATTCCGCCAAAGGGCCAGCCCACTGTTTGCTTCAGAGCTGAGCGCTCTTTAGAGGGGTACTGACTGAGGCTGGATAATGTGATGTTTTAGGAAGGCTACATACAGCAACGTGCTAGCCCATAGGCCACCAGCCAGTATTTGCCTGCACTGCATAGGGAAGTACAGAGACCCAGTGATAATATTACTGCATTTGAAAAAGGTATGTAATGAAAGCAAAAAGCAAAACATAAGTAGATTACAGTTAAGCTTTAAGAGGGTTTTGGCCTTAAACCCCTTGATGACGTGGTAACAC